CTGACGGATGACAATGTTCACAGCCAGAGATGACAACTGTGTCACTCTGCTTCAGCACACGCAGAATTGGGAAATCTTTCATGCAGTTCCCATTTACAGCCGTGCAGTCCCAGAGCCTGGTCTTGATACAACTGTGGGGATTCCACATGTGCCTACGCTCCTACCTGACGCAAAGCCAGGGACTAACCATCTACCATGAATAAAAATCAAGAGGTTTCTTGATTGATGAAGAAACACTTTTCTTGGAAGAGGAAGACGTGCCCCCACAGCACTTCAGTTCTGTGCAGCCCCGGAGGCTTAGGGGATCAGGTAACCGGCGGGGCAGGGGCCACTGCGGGGCTGAGAGGATTGCCAGACGCGACATTTCCAGGAAACCTCTGCTTAGTAAAGAGAATTAAAGCACCAGTCTAACAGGTGAATCCCCTGATAGTGCAAGATATTTAACAGACAACAGCTCGGAGTGGCAACAGATAATTTCATGGACTTTCCAATTTGCAGAGCATAGAGTCTGGGTCTGTGGCTCTTACCACTCTAAAAAAGGAAATCAGCAGGCAAAGCATGGAGGAAGCTTACTGTTCTCATCCGTACTAAAAGGACAACAGAATCCCATAGCTGAAAGCTCCTGGAGTTGTTTCCATCAAAAAGGAGAGACAATACACAACTACGTACAGAACTCAGCTGCAACTGTTTCCAACTGCTCGCTCAACAATTGCCCTGAGGAGTGCTGGTTCACCGACAGCACCCCAGGGAGAACCAAGATCCTCCCTTCCACACTCAGATGAAGACACAAGCATGATGCACTTCTCCCTCCAACCAGAGCAGTCAGACTGCACAGAAATCCAGTCCTGAGATGGGACCACGCAGAGGAAAAGGACAGTTCCTGCTGCACTCACCGGGATGGGACGGTCGGGCCTGAGCCCTGCCAGGGCAGGAGCACTGCAAGGGCAGCCTCAGCACTCCGGGTCACTCGCCTGCGCTCACCTCCACCTCAGTTAGCTGGGAGAGGTCCCCTTCCTTTACAGAGCTAAAAATAACAAATTACTGAGTCATTCGGGGACGGAGGCCTAGGAGTGGACTCTAAACCAGCTAACCAGCCCTAGAAGGACCGTTATGCTTCAGAAGAACGTAAAAGAGAAATTGCTCTGTGCTGCAGAGAAGAGCTAGGTGCAGCTCAGGGCACGGCGGGGCATGCCCACCCCTCCTGCGGGAACCAGCACACCCGCAGTGACCTGGAGGGGCTCTAACACTGGTAACACAGAGGTGGCAGAAGAGAACTCTGTTCTCACACACAGAGAGCACGTATCTCACACATTTGGCCGTGCTGAAGCCTAAGAGCCATCTCCAGAAACCCAAGCAATGCTGCTGGCAGGATTCCCACTTCCACAGCACATCACTACCTGCAGGTCCAACATGGTGCATGCTCACCTCTGCCGATGAGGGAAAGCACATAGGTGCTTCTGGGCTGCTTTGGGGAAACTGGAAAATAAAAAATTTGGGGGTAGAAATAAAGTACTGAGCAACAGTGCTTCCTCCCCGCTTTGCCTACGACACAAGGGGCCCCTGCAGCACAGCTGCAGCAGCAAGCACTGCCGCAGTATGCACCCTGGAAGTCCTGGTGTCTTCTGGGACCTGCTCGTAACCCCTCCTCAGCCATTCTTCCTGCAGAAAGAGGGGGTTAAAGCCCTGCTGCTTTCCTGCAGCACACCCGGGGCCTTCGGACAGGAGCCGGGCGGGGGTGTGGAGGAGCCAGCAGGAACAGGCTTTACCCTCTGCACCGGTAACTAAAGCTGACGGAACCCGGCGAGGGCGGCTGGGCCTGCGCCGCGCTCGGGGCTCCCCTGCGGGCGGCACTGAGGCTTCAAACCAGGATCTTGCTTCTGTCGCGTGGCACTTGGCTACCAGAGCCCAGTCCCCCAGTGCCGAGTTTGCCATTTCAGCCCGCAGGAAAGACTATTTCTGTCACACAAAGGTTGGTCGTCTGATCCAAACTCTTGGCGGCAGCCTCAGGACCCGATTTTCGGATGGATCGGCAGAAAAGGTTATTTAGCTCTTTGTTAAACACTCAATCGATTGAAACAATGGGAATAGCTGTGGAATGTTTAGGCAATTTTCTCACTGCTCAATTTTTTCCTTTTGCTAGTTCTTTGGACAATGGCCTCCAGCAGAGAGTCTGGGGTGCTGCACATAAAGTGAGAACTGCCATTGGAGGGAGAGATTTAATTGAGGTTGGCGGACAATTTTGCTTTGCCAAGAAGTTCCTCCTATCCTTTATTTTATGTTTCTCTTTCAAACTCACTTGTCTTGGCAGACTGCACTTCTCTTCCTCTTTTGCAAGGATTTCATCTGGACACAAACGGAACATTGCTTATTTTAATTTTAGGCTTAGATAAGGAAGCTATTGGAAAAAGTTTGTTGTGGGTCACACTCTGAAAGCTGACCTTGGTCTCAAAAGGGATATTGAGGCTTCTGCTGCTGTTTCTGGGGAAAGGAAAAAAAACCAAACAAAACAAAAAGCTTTTTCTTTAGAATTAATTACGAACTGTCTCAGAGGGACATAGGTTTTCAAAGCACTTGTGATCAGCCAAAGCCTCCTCTGACCCATCCTCTCATCCTTGCTTCAAAAAATGACAGTAAGGTGGATGGAAAGAGACCGAAGCTTTGGCTGACTGGGTGCTTTTGGGGAGCTCCTGACAGGCCCTGTGCCTCGTCCTGCCCGACCCTCCCTTGGACAGGCCTCTGGGCCCAGCCCAGAGCAGCCGGCGCCAGCTGAGCTTCCCAGGGAGCAGGCCTCAGGGCTGGGAGCCGCCGGGAGATGCACCAGCAGCCCCCGACTCGGGCTCCTGGCAGCAAACTCTCTCGAGGAGACGGTGTCACCCGCACCCCAGCGGAGCGGGATGGGCTGGGAGCCCGGTGCTTCCTCCCCTGTCCCCATCACACAGCTCCGAGCCCGGGCTGCCTCCAGGCCTGCACAACGCCCCGGCCCGTCACCACGAGACTGCAGCCCAGCTGTAAAGAAGAAACAGGTTGTGCTGCCACCAACTCGTGTCTGGCGGTGTGACACTGGGCTCCCAGTGCACAGGCGTGATCCCTCTCTAGCCGATTGCCACATTTGGAACAAGAATGAGAACGGAAACAGAATCCCTGTTTTTCCAAAACATGCTTCAGTTATAATAATACCCCATGACGAACAGAGGAAGGAACAGGCTTTTCTGGGGCCCCCTGCCCTGCCTGAAACCCTCACTGACAAGGGAACATGTCCCAGCAACAGAAGTTCAAGGGCCCCTGCCATCCCCAGAAAACCCTCCTGTCTGGCACAGCGCTCAAAGCAACACGGCTCCTGTGGCTTCTCCCAGCGGCGCTGGGCACCGGAGCCACGCAGGAGGATGGTCCCCATCGAGCCACCCCCAGGAGAGAGGGGAAGGGCCCGAGCAGGGTGTGGGCACCCGAGGAAGCTGGACTGAACCCTGACAGTACAAGGTGTGACACAGCGTCCATGAGACGTGAACCCTAAAGCTACAGCCCACAGGCCCACGGGGAGATGCTGTGCAGCGGGGCCCACGGGAGCTGCGCCAGGGAAGCAGGCTGGCTGTCAGCTCACGGGCTGTTATCTCACGGGTTGTTATCAGGGTGGGCTGTTACCGGCGGGAGCTGCCACAGTTGGAGGAGACTGCCTGCAGAGGAAGGAGCCCGGTGGTGGGCAGCTGAGGGGGGACCAGAGGGTGCCCTAGCCTCTGGCACCCAGGAAGGCAACTGAACCCAAACTGCTGCATCACAGCACGTCCCTGCCAGGCCTGACGGGCTCGGATTCAGCTTCCCAGACAGGCTGAGTGCTCGCACTGACACAGAAACAGAATATAAGGCAGGTATAAAAACTGCCAGTGGAACCAACATCCAAACTCATCACCCAAAAGCAACAAATAATTGACCGTTAAGGCTTTGATCTGAGTCTCAGAAATGAGAGAGGGGCAGGAGTACTCAGAATAACGTAAAGACAATTTTGTCTCTGAATACACCCCTTTATTTCGCTGAGATTCAGTGAGATTTGGGGGAAGAGCAGGCTCAGGTTACACACTGTAAAGCAGAGCTCAAGTCATGTATTAAGTGTTTGTTAACATTAATGTATGCAACTTGCATACTTCACTTTTTTAGAAATATAAACCTCAATTTCTCTCCCCAAATCTCAGATTGCTCTCAGCATATGCTACTTACCCACGTTCATAAAAAAGAGGTTAGCTTTTCCATTTCCATACATTTCCACTAATTTTGTGCCTGATTTCAAAGCCTCCTAGTAAACATGTAGGGAGAACAGGAAGGGAGGAGGCAGACAGTTTATTAAGGTTAAAAGAAAAGAAAAAGAAAAAACGAAGACAAAGAAAAATGCCATACACCAAAGATTCAACTTATCCCAAGAATATATCTCCCAGCCTCTGAGCACGCCCTGAGCAAGCACCGCGTCAGCCCGTGCGCTGCAGTTCAGAACACTCCCATTAACAAAAGCAGAAGCTATCAGGGCAGAAAAGCTTTAAAGAAAAGGTCACAGTCAGGCCTGGGAACAGTTTAAGAAAAGAAAACACCAGCCCTTAACTTAAGATCGCTTACTGCTTTGCCAGCTGCACAAACGTGTCTTTCTTGAAACCGGTTCAACACTGATCTTCATGGAAGTGCGTGTAAGAGCCCGAAAATAGCACCGGCCATCTGCAGCACTCCAGAGCTCGACCACATTTGGCCCAGCAGCACGGCTCGGCTCGGCTGCGCTGCGCTCCTGCCTGCACCCATACAGCCCACGCCGACCCGCCGCCCCTGCAACGGGTACCCACTGTAACACCGACCGACCGCAGCACCGACTGACCGACCCACACACCGCCTGACAGTAACGCTGCCTGCCTGACCGACTGACCGTAACACCGACCGACCCACACACCGCTGGATGGAGCACTGACCGGCTGACTGACTGTAACACTGCCTGATGGTAACAAGCGCCTGACGGTACCACCGCCCGCCGGTCACCCCGCCCTGCACCTGCGGACAGGGCCGAGGCTGTCCAGGCGGGACGAGCCGCCCATGGGCCCAGCGGAGCAGAGGCAGGACTGCGCTCCAGCCGGTAAGTGACAGAACCTCTGCAGCCTGCACAGCTTTCGTGGCGTTTTTCATTATAAGGCAGCTGTAACGGGCTTATTCTGTAAATCTTTCCTAGCTGAAGAGGGACCACATACACAGTTTTACATTTCTTTCCAGGTGAAAGACTCTGCCTTTCCATTACACGTTTCTGTACATTCCCAATGCTCTCTAACATTCTCTTTTAATTTTTAAATAACTACCACCATCACTTGTTTTTTTTTTTAAATTGATAAATAAGGTGAACAGGAAATCATCCTCGCATTATGCAAATCACAAACAAATTACTTGGAACACAAATGAGCAGTCATAACTGTAAATAAATAGAGAAAGCCAAGGCAGGCAAAGTCCCACACCTATTGGGCTGAGACACGGAACAGCCTCCAGCCACGCCACCAGCGATCTGGTCTGCAGGGAAGGATTGCTCTGTCTTGTCTATTTTGGCAAAAGATGTTTTTCCTTAAGCAACTATTTTTGTTTTAATTTATGACTGAGGAAACATAATATAAAACTCACACTTTAAAACATCAGAAAATAGAATTAAACCCCAAATATTTAAATGAGAAATATTACTGTTAAAACAGAATATTAAAAGGAACAATTTGAGCCACTTTTTAATTTTAAATATCCAGTTTTAGGCCAATAAAACTACTAATCATTAACAAGTTTTATTGACGTACTCACACTAGAGTAATTCCAAATGTGGTAGGACAGTTGCTTTGAAAAGCTGGTCTGTTTAATCCTCTAATATCAAAGCATAAACTGACCACTCCCAATACCCTGGTCCTGACTTCTCTTACATCCACCACTCCCCGATTCAGGTACTATAACTGATGGGAGAGAAGAAGGATCTCGGGGCGGGGGGGGTGAGGCTTAATTTAAAAAAACAGAATATTTGGCTTAGATCTGAAATGACCCTACACGCAAACAGCTCAAAGCATTGCCCAGGTTTCAGTGTGAATATCAGGGTTTGCACAGATACTCCATAGGCTCTAATATTTTACTGCTACAAGGCTGTGGGTTTAGAGTAATTTAGACTCGTGTAAAAATCAGAACTGAATACAGAATGAAAAGTTTAACTTATCAGGAAAATCAGGCTGCTAAATTTTAGATTTCAAAAGTAGCATAGGGACTCCCGGGCAACAGGAAGAAATGAAACAGTAACTGGTGGGTTTGGTGAGGCAGAAATAAAGCTCTACCCTTGAGGTGTCCTCACACTGCAACCAAATGAGCTTGCACTGCCCGACAAAGAGTCTGCTATTTTTACAAGAAATAAACAGTGTTATCTACAGCTGGGCTTTATACCTACCTGTTGGCTCTCCCACTCGCTGTGCCCTTCAGAACACAGGAATTACTCGCACATGCCCAGAAAACGTCACGCATGATCTAACTGATGGAATGGCTCTGGCGGGGAAGATCCGTTAGGAAGCGCTGTCGAGGCCACGGGCTGTCTGGAGGACCCGGGGCGGGTGTAGGCACAGGCTGCCCTGGCACTGAGCCCTCCAGCCAGCACGGGCTGGGGGCCGGAGCCACGCGCAGGGACTCTGCACCCCCCACTCCTGCCACACTGCTGCCATCCACCCTGGGGACAAACACCCCGATCTTCCACAGGCGGCCTGGAAATGTCACTCACAACACTTTTTAAAGGGGGAGCAGATGGGGAGGGAGGAAGGAAGAAGGGGAGTGAGGAGAGCAAAGCTCAGCGCTCCAGTCTGCCTCAGTTGTAAAAGCAGATGTTTTGTATCCAACTGGAAAAGAGAATTCACTCACAACTGTAAGAAAGTCAAGACTTTCTACTGCAATACTGCATGCTTCTGAAAGGTGTTAGTGGGACTCCTTTCAGCCCAACCACTGCCAGAAAATGTCTGTAACACACTGAACTTAAAAGCTTGGGACTGTTTTTGCAAATAAAAGGAACAAAAAAAGGCAGGTACAGTCATTAATTCATAAGCATTTCTAAATAGCGACTGTGTTATACAAAGAAATTCAAATCTTCACACACATTCCCCCAAGAATTACGCAACCCCCCAAAAGCATACAGGCAGCCAGGGGCAAATACAGTCCCAACGAAGAGAGGTCACAAAACGTGTCACGGCTTTATTCCGTGTTTTGTGTTAAAATAGCATTTTAAAGGTTAGATGATAGAGCCAGGTTCTTCCAAGCTGAGCAAGTCGACTGCTCCCTTTGGTTAAGGGATGAGGAAGGAAAGCGTCCGGGTTCAGACCTGGTGCTGCCTGCAGCAAAGGCCAGGGCTGCAGAGGGCTGCGGGGGTTTGGGGTGCTGCAGGATGGGGGGTCCCTGCTCACTCCGGGGCTGCGGTCCCTGCACAGGCACAAGGGACACGAAGCGGGGACGCTGGCAGAAGGGGCGACCAGGCAGGACATGGGGATGAGGAGGAGGAAAGCTGACGGTACACAAGGGGACAGCTCACAAGGCCCGACAGCACCATCAGGAAGGACACCAGCCCCAGAGGACGGCGTTCGGAGGCGGAAAAGATCCGAGTCCAGCTTTTTGTTCAATTCATCCCGCGTTTGGGAAGTCAGGAGTTTGTAAATAAGGTATCGTAGCATGAGAAAGTCCCTCTCTCTGTCACCGATTGCTACCTCCCCACTAGAACATCCTGAATTGTGCCTTTTTGGCTCAAGAGCGAGAAGTACTGTAAAGATGTAGAGTTCTTCACCCCTCTGTCCTTCCCCTGGCCAACCAGAGCTGCCGCCAGGACAGACCCGCAGTGTCCCCGCGCCTCGCCTGCCTCGGGGGAGCCACTGCTACCCCCGGGGACAGAGCAGCACCCGCGACCTTCCCGGCACACACGGCCCTTCTCAGCCACTTTCACAGGGGACACTACTCTCACCGGCACCCCGAGGAGTAGCCTGAGTAGAAACACAGCTCAGGCAGAACTCTGTCTTCTGACACCAGACGTGGGGGCCCTGAAAGCAAGAGCTGAAGGCACAGCAGCAAGGACCCGACACCACCTGGAACCTCCTGCCACGCTCGCCGATGCCTGTCTCTCTGAGCCGCCTCAGCAGAAGCGAGCACAGAGCACCACCACGTACAATGCTGCTCACAGCTCCTCGCTTACTCCTTCCTGCAATGCTATTTTTTTTTCTGTCATCCTAGTTTGACTATTTATCCCGTTTTCCTGCACTACATCTTATGTCTCTGTGACAAACGAGAACAACTACCACCCAATATGCCATTCTAACGGGCTGAAATAGTACACAGTGTATTTTGCATACTTTTATTCTCTTAAGTATTAAAATCCAGACATTGCCTTATGACAAATGTTATAATAAGAACTGAAAAATAACAAAATCTTAGTCTCTTGGCAAACTTGCAAGAAGTCAAATGTACCAACATATCCTCCAGTCAGTGCACAAAGCACCTTCCAAAGGAGAGCAGCAATTACAGCCACGGCTCCCGAGGCCTCCACCCTGGCACCCCCCACTGCCCGGTCGGGCACCTCTGCAGAGAGGCGGAAGGGGTGCGGGCCCGCCCCGAGCACGCACCCGCTGGGTGCCCTTGGACAGCCCCTACCCCCAGAGCCCCCCGCCGAGCAGCTTCCAGCCCCCGAGGAGCCCCAGGGCAGCCGGCCCCGATGGCTCCGGCTGCGGGAGCTCCGGGGAGCAGGGCAGGCAGCTGGCACCGCAGGGCCGGGGCACGCATCCACACCGACCGGCATGGCCGATATTCCTACCACCACAGAAAGAAAATCTGAAAAAAAATTACTATTCTTTTAGCACAACGCAGCACAACTCACAATTGCTGTGTTCTATGTATTGCACTTCCTCTTTCTCTAGATTTCTCATAACATCTGAGATAACATCTGGCATGGCCTTCCTTGCTAAACTCCATTCTGCAGTTCCAAAAAGGTTTCTGGGGACAGTGACCCCTGTCAGCGATTCCTAACCCAGTAACTGCATTGCATACTTACTTATCAAGCAGCTGCATTAATTTCCATGAATAGCTAAAATCTGCACTCAGTGCTACAGAAACTTCATTATATTCAGAGGGGAAAAAAAAAAACCAAAACAAAAACTTGTAAACATTATGCTTATGTTCAGTAAAGCAGCCATGAACTTTGAAATTTGCCAACCAAGTCACAGAAGTCAAGAAAAAGTGCCTTAATGGATACTGGAAAGGTTACAAATGACAGTGTAAGAGTGAATACAGACGGAAGGAAACATTTTTAATGGTTTATGCAACTTTCTGTTTGTGTATTTTGCCAAGACATGATTTGCAAACTGGGAAAGTTCAAGCTTTGATATATTTTACCAGATCAATCTTGTTACTTCGGAGAATCAAGTTTGCTGGTTTTGCACAGCTAGTCAGTATCATCTACAAGGAAAACCACTTTGTGCTGGACCAATGTCTGAAGGCAGAACGCTGCCCAGAACGACAGGCTGCTCTCACATCCAAACCACAACTGCTCGACGCTGACATGTGCCCTCCAACACACACCACAAATGGCAGCAGTTACACAGCAGCAAAAAAACAGCAAAGTTTTAAAAACTGGGGGGAAAAAAAGCCTCCTTAAGCTTAGTCATCACCGCAAGTAGCATTTGGACAAAAAGGTCCTAAATTGACCCACCAATTAACATCAGCTGAAGCGTATGGACAGTTTGCGGGTGAACCCCAACATGGGATGAGGGCTATCTACTCACTGCAAGCCGCGGGTGATGTGCTGGAGCCACTGCAAGTCCCCACGTCCTCACCAGCGGAGAGAGTGTTCCCGTTGCCAGGGCTTACGGGCAGCCGCAACAAGGACGCAGGCAGAGCGAGCAGGGAAGGGCAGCTCTCTAGGACGTGGAAGCACGACTCCACGGCTCCTGCCCCCCACGGGCAGCCCAGCCCCACGGCCCACGCAGGCCGAGCTGGGGGGCAGCACCGCGGCTCCCACAGCACCCACACTGGGAGCCACCACCACGGAGGGAGAGTTCTTGAGGGCAGGGGGACGGGGCCCTTCAGCCAGAGCTGAGCCTCTGCCTCGGCGACCAGAGCGGCAGCTGAAACTGGTCACGGACACAAATGACGGGATGCACGGCCGGGGACACACAAAGGCCTCCAGCCCTACCCACGCAGTGCCGGGCTCCGGGGTGAACACGAGTGCTCCCTGACTCTGTCCCTGACCAGCTCTGATCTCCTCCGGGAAGATCTGGAGAGCTGTCTGCAGCTCCGTCCTTAGACCCCTGCGCTGCGGGAACCCTCGGCCCCGCAGGATTACACTGCCCTGCGTTAGGATACACAGCTCTGACAACTGTTCTCTCCTGTCTCTCACACAGGTCGCCCAGCAAGAGAAGAGGCCCTGGGCCTGAGAATGGAAGGCGCTCTAGACCCTTAACAGAGAGCACCACAGCAGTCAAACCAAGAAAGGTAAGGACATGCCACTGATACAGAAAGATTTACAGAGTCTGGCATGGGCAGTTGGTAAATCTGCTGTACCAGATGTAAAATTCGTGTGAGGTGTCATCCATGCTGCACAGACACAATATTACTGATCGAGGTTTAATGTCCACAACTCTAATCACATGCTTCTGAAATAACCCTTTGCTGAGTGATGCCTCAACACAAGACATACTTCATGAACTTCCTAAGCCATTTATTATCTGCTACTAAGCCCCAGCATAGAAAGAGCCAGCTCCAGGAACTTTGCTTTAGGAAACCCTACAGAGCAGGAACAAGTTCCAAACACACCATATGCAGAGGGTCCTGCTCAGACAGCCTGACAGGAGGAAGAGAACAGGTACACAGCAGACAGCAATGGGAAGAGAACGATTTTTAAGTACAGTGTGTTACCATCTTACATAAAAATGCCATTTACTGCTGGCGCTTTTCCAGGAGATCTTTCTATTTTTAACAAACCTTACCCATCATTACCCCCTAACCCTAATGCACCCATTCACGTGGTAGTTATAACACCCCCTCTCCACACCAGCTCTCTCCTTTAAAAACCCATCCAGAATTGTGGATTTTCTAAAAGATGAGGTGAGGTTCTTTTCCCAGCTCCATGGCACTTATGTTTCAGTTGCCTAGGTTTTCATTTGCTAAATACAGCAGCATTATATCTATATCTGTTCTGCCCTCCCTACAGAGGATATCCACCCCCGTAAACATTCTGTCAAAGAAAAGCAGACAGCAGATGTGATAGCTTCTTGGAGATCCTCTAAAATGTAAATCTGAATGACTTGAAGGACAGCTCTAGCCTCCACACTATGCTAACACACAGGCACACTCCTGGGTGTTGTGCTACTAAAAATTTAAAGCAAACTGTGCTAGCTGCACATACAGGTTTCTTTCAAGTGAACATTAGAAAATATTGGCACACACTAGATATTTCCACGCTTGCCTAACAGAAGAGTGGTTTTTATGCCTGTATACAAAATAGAACACTTGTAAAAGGAGTATTCATATCCCTCACGTGCTTCCTGGTAAACCAGCGCTAAAAATACATACTGGTCCTTAAGGATTAACGAGATGTATTTAGTCACAAAATCACTGTGGCCCAGTGACCCTCCTAGTTCGCAGCACGCAGGCTCATACCCGCAGAAAAGCGGCAGCAGAGGGCTTGAACAACGGATCAAACGGAGAAGCAAACGGATCCTCTGTTCAGAACAGCAGCATGGCCCTTGAACGTCACCAAAAAGTGAGATGGCACCACTCGGAAACCACTAACGATGTATCCCTGCTGGAAACGACTGGTGTGGAAATGTGGTCACTGCTGAGAAGGGTGCCAGATGTATTTTGAATTAAGAGTAGAAATCTTATACTAATTAATGGAAAGCACAGCACCATGTTATCCTACTGAGATAATCTTTCTCTGCTTCTAGGAACAAAGATACTGTAAGATGTTCAACTCCAGCACAAACTCCTCGGGAAACAACTGCAGTCACAGCACAGTAATAACCAAGACAGTCATTCCCCTGATCTACTGTTTCATTTTCATAGCAGGACTCTTGCTGAACGGGGTGGCAGCGTGGATCTTTCTGTATGTTTCTAGCAAAAAGAGTTTTATTGTCTATCTCAAAAACATCGTTGTGGCTGATCTCCTAATGAGCTTGACATTTCCTTTCAAAATCCTTGCCGATTCAGAAATTGGACCTCCACAGCTCAACACGTTCGTGTGCAAATACTCCGCAGTTGTTTTTTATACAAACATGTATATCGGGATAACGTTTTTTGGCCTCATAGGTTTTGACAGATACTATAAAATTGTAAAGCCTTTATTCACCTCCTTTGTTCACATGGTTAACTACAGTAAGGTGGTCTCTATAACCATATGGTTACTGTTAATACTTATATCCTTTCCAAATATGATTTTAACTAATGATATTACTGAAGAAAATTATTCCAAAAACTGTATAGGTCTTAAAAGTGAGCTTGGCAGACAGTGGCACAAGGCATCAAGTTATATTAGCACTGGGATTTTCTGGGTTGTTTTTCTTCTGCTAATTGTTTTTTACACTTCTATATCAAAAAAAATATATAGCTCTTACAAAAAATTCAGACGGAACTCAGACGTGGCCAAGAGAAAAACCAGCCGTAATATATTCAGCATCATGTTTGTGTTTGTCGTTTGCTTTGTACCCTACCACCTCTGCAGAACACCATACACGCTCAGCCAGACTAGCTCACAGTTCAACTGCCACTCAAAAAAAACCCTGTTCTACGCAAAGGAGTTCACTCTTGTACTGTCTGCTGCAAATGTCTGCCTCGATCCCATTATTTATTTTTACCTCTGCCTGCCCTTTAAAGAAAAGCTGTATCAGAAACTGCATCTCAAGCTGAAAACTTCAAGTGAGGTTGAAACTTCTAAATCCAGAAGGTCAAATACGCTTCGGGAAAGTATAAACATAGCGTAGGTTCAGGTCTGTAAAATAATGCACATGTCAGAAAGTTATTCAAGAATGCAAATGTCTCAAAAAACCTGAACAGATGAGAGCCAGCAATAAACCAGAAAAAATGCTTCAGCATAAAATACCAGGAGGTGTATGTCTGTATAAAAACATTACTGCGTGTTGCCAATACATTTCCCAGTGCTATTTCAGCTGATGCTTTGACTGCGCGGTGGTGTGGTACAACCTATCTGCATCTCAAAACGAGAGAGAGGAGTAACTGGAACAACACACCCTGGAGCTCCCCGCCTCGGTCTCCGAAGGATTATCCAGCAGCCCCAGGCATCAAACTGCCTTGCTGCTGTTTCTCCGAAGCCAGGCACCACACACGAGCCCCCAAAAGCAGCCTGAAGGGCCGGGCCCAGCGCTCGCTCCAGCCCACCCGAGCAGCGCCCGCAGAAGCCACACGAGGAAGTTCAGCACTTGACCTCCACCAGCCTGGAAAAGAGGACTGAGAACCTGAGGGGAAACTCTCATGTGTTAACCGGGTCACAAAGGAAAGGGCTGAAGGCAGTGTGCAGCTTAAGGAAGGACACTATTCCAACAACTGTGGGGAAAAAAAGTACACATCAAATCCTCAAAGATCTGCACAGAGCCTGAAAAACCCTTGGTAAAATTAGAATAGATATATATAGGTTTTCTTAAGGGAAACATTCTGTAAAATTAAAAATTAAACATGACTATTTGTCACCCTTATGACCAAATGTCAGAATATTTCTGTAAAATGTGATGTTCAAGTGTTTAAAGAGGAGCCTTCTACAGGCTGAACAGCACAGTTACACGGTGCCATATTCCTCGGGACTTCTCTGAAGTAACACGGTGTACACCAGGGACGTTCACACCAAACTGAGACTGCAGTAACTCCCTTGCTGTTGTTGCAGAAGGAGGTAAGAACGCTCAAGGAGCTGCTTGAAAAAACAGACGTCCAGCCATCCAGAAACTCTGGGCTATGTCGAACTCCAGAAAGAATGATTTGTTGGTTTTCCCATGCTTGTGGCACAACAATAAAGCATTTCTCTCTGTACAAAGGTAATAGCTGAAAGCGACCAACCTTCTGTATATAAATACAATCGCTTTTCTAACTGTATTTTTCAGTGCAGCTTTTTTTTTTTTTTTTTGATTGACTGGTTTTATCATTGTACAGGGAAAACACACCAGGGCATGAAGTGCCCACAAGAGCTTTCAGGCAGTGGCTCTGGGAGCTGAACGTTTTCATTTTACTTAACAAAGAAGATACAGGAACAAAACCAGAAATAACACGTGCTTCACCTTTCTGCCACTGTGCTTCATTTTAGTCCTACCAGCTAATCCCTCAGGGTGGAAGACATTTAAACACACAGTCTTTGATCCTCCTCCAAGGCTGTGGGTAAATTCCCTTGGTGCGAGACCACCGTCCTGCAGCAAGCAAGAGTACTCTGCCATCACACAGGATTATATTCCAACTAAAGGGCAGAGAAGTGCTGAGCTTGAACACACCTTGGGGGAGCGGATTTACCTCCATTTATGTCCCACCACAAACCCTGGGTACTCACGGGGCTGCAGGGGCGGGGACACCCTCTGCACGAGCCAGCCCTCAGGGACTACAGGAGGAAGCTGCGGTGTGGTTGGGTTTTTTAAAGAGATACATAAAAGATGATTTATACGGTTCTTTCAGAGCTCCCTGACTCTTGTCAAACTGAGACTTCACAGGCTCTTCCCTCCAAGCAAGGGAAACAGCTTGTTAGGGAGAGCAATCTGCTGCTTTGTGGGAGATTTTTTTGTCATTTATGGCAAAATCATTTAGTTCCTTACATGGCATGGCTTGGGTTTTGCTACATATACCCAAGTAATTGCAGCTGTGAAAGCACACTGGCATACAGAGATGAAAACACTTCCACAGTATATATAACTTTTTAATTACTTTGCAGGTTTTGAAAAAAATTATTTATATTGCAAAATGGTTTCCTCACCCCATCAGATTACTGATATTAGAATGACAAAAATCTACATACCGGCACCCAGGGGAAAGAATGCTGACCAACACACTTCTGAAAAGTGACACTAAATTTCTAGCTTTTGCTTCTCTTTAAAAAAAAGTCACAAAACACTTCTGTGACCCCTGGCCCTACTGCAACCTGTCACCCTGTGTGTGACAAGTCTCAAATAACACCTTTATCAAACCAAGCGTCCGCTCCATGTCCCCAGCCTTGCTCTTTACTTTGCTGTAGGAACCCGGACCGAAAGGTGAGGGGCCAATTTTGTTTTGCACTGGTTAAGTTAATTCTTTCCCACGTTTCCCAGAGCACCACGCCCTGGATAAACCTAGCCAGCTCCTCGGACACCAGACGTCCTGTGGTCACACTAAGTACCAGCTCTTGCCTTGTCCGCCCCCCACCTGGAGGAGCCTCCCCTGAGTTCTTGCAGGGAAGGTTATGGGTACCCCAGGGCCAGTCCCCCGCTCCAGGTCGTCCTCTGGACGTACCCGTGGCTCCCTCCCCGGCACCGTTGGTCCTTTTCTCTTTGGAGAGGCAGGTTATCCACCTGGAGCGGGATCTCTTGCAAAGGCCTGGTGCCCCAGACAGAACCAGCCTGCATAATGACCTCTATTGTAAAAAAACCAACTAAACCAAAGAGGGGGCAGATATCACTTTAATCTACCTAACAAGACCACGCAATCACAACCAGCAGATGTAACGAGGGAGCACCCCTTGTATTTGCTAACTTTAACACAGAGGGGACGGGTGGTAAGGGCTACTTTCCCTCTGCCAACACCCTCACACATGTTCTCCCATCCCAGCCCGATAAATAAGCATTTTATTCTTTTTATGAGAAATCTTCACTAGCACGTCTAATAGTCATCACTTCAGGGCACTGCACACCTGTAAAAGGCTGTTCAAACAATTAAAACTAAATAGTGGTAACTGATGGAGGGTGCCGGGGCAGGCCGAGGAGCCGCTGGCTGTCTGACAGGAGAGGGGGTGCTCTGCTGGCCAGCGATGACGGGGTCACCTACCCCCAGTTCACACACACAGGCAGGGCAGACCCCCCCTACACTGAACACACCTGATGCTCTGAAATACATACACAAAGCAGTTTTCTCTTCAACAGAAATAGCTGTTACTGCTCAGAATTCCTAACTCCCCTGTGCCGAGATCATTCCTATTTTTCATTTACAAAGCAGACGTTACAATGGGACACAAAATTTGAATCTGTCAATAAAAGTCATGACCAGTGGTAAGAGTAAATACTAAGCTTGCTAGTTTGTACGTGTTTGCACATGAAAAAAACTTCTTGGCAACATGATTAAAGCGTGGCAAAGACACCACTCAGACTGCTCCTCAGAGACGTACCTCAGCACCAGAACACGGCTGTGCCAGCCGCGCACGGGAGAGAACTCTCGCAGGACTCGTTTGTGCCATCTGCTCATTACTGTGCCGCTGACAGCGACTCTGAACACTTCCCTCACAGCTGAAGAGAAGCTGAAAGAAAATCAACTGTTTGCAAGTGTATTCTGGTCTTTTTCCTGTCTACCATCATGTAAATGATACAAAATCATGATAAAAGCAGGGCTTCCCATCAGTTCTGTCTCAGAGATTGACTCCATCTGGCTTGTACAGGCACATAAACACACACGGAAGAAATCAAAACTCAAAATTACATCTCAAACTTTCAGTGCCTTTAGCAGCACATTTATACAGGGCAAGTCCCAGGAGAGCCACATCCCTCCTGCGAGCAATCCACCCCAAAACCTCCTCTGGCTCTGGCAATGTGCCCGGGCCAGGAGGAGGAACTGGGCTCTGCCTGCGCTGGCACCGCTCCCGCCAGGACCTGACCCTGCTCTGGGAGAGGGGAGGCCTCCCGTGCCCCCCGCACCGTCCCACACCGCAGGGAGCTGACCGTTACCTGCTCCCACCTAAACGTGGGTGAAATTTCTCCCAGTTTTCTCCCACTGCACCCCAGGCTGGGAAATCTGACAGAGTCCACGCAGCCACGACGTGCAGATCAGCCTTACTTTTGGACCCGCACAGAAAGCAGGCTCAGAAACCTTACATAATGGAATCGGTAACCCTCAGCTTAACAACTTTCTGATTTAAAAGAGACAAGGATAGGAATGACAGATTCAAAGATCAGCTTCCCACCAGCTGGATGAACAGGTTGTTCTGTGTTTCCCTGATGTAAAGACAGGAGCTCACACAGAGGCAGGCCAGCGCTGCTAACACTGAATGTTCCCCAGGACTGAAGGTCAGGAACACGCAACAAGAACGAGGGGCTGGGAGATATCCCCTCACCGTAAGCTGCACCTGCCTGGCAGCTGCAGAAATGAGGACAAACATTCTGTAAATGCACACTCACATGCAATCCTCCAGTACAACATTAAAGAAAACTGTCCTTTTAAATTTAACTGCACCCCTTACAGTGCATCTTTAATTAACATTAATCCCAAATAAATCCCACAGGACACCTATCTGCGGAGACTTAAGTAAATAACCCCTGAGGCTGTTACCTGAAATAAAGACTCTCAAAACCAAGATTAGTTTGGAGAGGAAATACTGCTTTACTCTGGGCAAGGTGTTAGGTGGAAAACATCCATAATCAAGCACACCACACCAAAGAACTTCAAAGCATTTACACACTCCAAACTACATGACTGTGTGTTTACTGTAATGACTATTGGTTACTTACTTATCACCTCTATCTCTCACTGGTTAGTAACATACTCGCTCCCATTTAAAGTTACAGTAGGTTTGTAATTTTCTGCACAAACTCAAGCTCAAAGGGTGAGGAGCTTAATTTGGGCAGGGGTCTTCAAAGCAGTGGATGTGATTCTTACAATTATAATGAGGCTAGTTCTTCCAAAGGACACTCTAATCTCTAATTAAACTCATTTATATTAAACAATTTTAACAAGCTTCCATGTTCCAGGCTGTTTCACCTCCTCAAGGACAGTAGCTCCTGATTAGAGGCTCCTTACTAATTACGGTTGATGGTGTGAAGAACAGACTGACCTAGCTGATGCGTCCAATCTGTCCTTGTATTTGATGAGAAACATTTGTACAGACAGTGAGACGTACTGTGTGTCCTTGGGCCCGATGGGAAACAGTTGTGTGGCCTACAGCTCCCCAGTAAACAATACATTCTTTCCTGCAGACAGCAAGCACATAAAATCTAAGCAACTCTGAACAAGGCCTCCTGTTCAGGGTAACGAGGAGACCTGCTGACGGGGGAGGACAAAACACACAGTGGCATCTCCCGAGGGGATCCTCAGCCAAGCCGAGCCCTAGCACACCCCGAGCCCATGCTGTCACGCGCCGTCACACAAAGTGTTTCACCCCCGAGGAGCAGAGCCTGGCTGGGCAGACACCCGCTCCCCCCGCCATGGCCCCAACGCCCTCCACACACAGTTCACAGCTCCCAAGGGCCAAACCCCAGCGAGGAGACCCCCAAGGACTCGGAGGTACATCCAAACTCAATCCCCTTCCACGCGGGGTGCTCTCGGCCCCCGGCCCGTGTCCCAGCTCCCCCGCAGGATGGCGGCCCACAGCCCCCCGCAGCCAGCCCCAGCTCGGGCTCCCCCTTCCCAGGGGGACAGGTGGCGGCCGCGGGCGCTGGGCTGGACCACGCCTGCAGTGGAGGGTGCTCGGAAGGGGAAAAAAGGGTTAAAGCCTACTAAGGGCAGAGCTCCAGAAAGCCTCTGGAACCTTCCTGGAGGTGAAACCTTTCTCCAGGTGAACGTGCGAAACGTGGAGAGGTATCAGAAGTGATCCTGACACAAGGACCACCCCCCACGGCTTCGGGGCGCCCAACTCAAAGCTCAAGGCACCTGATGTGCTCTTAAAGGTCATCAGATTTTGGGGGTTTTTTAGGTTTAGATGCTATTTTTTCTGGCTTTGTTCTCAGAAATTATTTAATCATTTTGGCTGAATTCCCACCCACACCAGCACCCCTTCCCTTCCTTGCACCACACCCCAGTCCCAGGAGTCAGCCTCAGCAGCTGTGCACCAGGGAGAACTGCAAATCACAAGTCAAAAATTCAGCAAAGCTTAAACCACCAAAAAGAGGGCTTTAAGATAAGAAGTGCTTAGCAACTTTAATTACAGCAAAATCTACCATCTGCATCTGTAATTTATGAACTAAAGCGGTCTTTTAAATTAGACATATAGACAGGGGAAGAGGATGACACCAAACCGCAATAAACCCAGAGTTATGACTCAATAGATTCACATTTTCATGTTTCTTCTCCTCCCAAAACACATCTCTAAGAAGCTCAGACCATTTCTCAGTAAAGGTTTACCTAACCACCACCTTGTCTTTTTAGACCTGGGAAAGTTTTCTGAGCTGTAAACTGACTCTGTAGAAAAGGGGAGACACAAAAAAAAAAAAAAAAAAAAAAAAAAAAAAAAAACCAAACGACTGAATGTTATGTTTCAAGTATAAAGAAAAAAAAAAGGAAGAAAAATACAAGTATGGAAAGATCACTTCTTCATGATGAGCGTAACACCATAAAACTAACTCATGTTTGTTCAAAACTGAACATAGGATCATTCTAGATTATGAAGCTTTGCAAACATTTCAACAAACATGGTCTGAACTTCAAGCTTATGACTAAACTTAAAACCAGACATTTGTAATTTGTTTCTTCACAAAGCTCTGGTACACGATTTGTAAATTCCTGTGGATTCTCAACTACAACAAAGTGTCAACATTTGGGGGTTTCAGTACTGTTGTCAGTCCCTCCACCCACTAACCTGGTGTTAGAGAGTTTCTCCTGATTTAAAACAAAAAAAAAAAAACCCAACCTATTTATAAACATTTCCCCTATATCCCCAATGTGTCATTTTTATTTTTAATAGTGCTGGCAAATATCCAAAGGTTCAGACTGTTAATTGCTATCAGTAGAATCCCTATGTGCCTTTAAATCTGCAAATTAGATTGCAACTCTAAAAAAACCTGGAATTTCATGCAGGAATATTGTAATGAATGAGGGTGAGCTCCACTGTAAACCCCTGATTCCAGAGAGATTTTAAATGGAAGACAGGGGGCGGGGTGGAAGAGAGTTTCAGATTTTTAAAAACAAAAACAAAGAAACAGGCCACTGACACCACAAATCTCTAGCCCCAAGTCAAGAGTCTGGGACTCATCCGAGGAAGTTTTAGGGACTAAGTGAAAAAGGCCACGGGCTGGTGCTGACCAAGCCACACGTGTCTCGTCACCCTTGCACATGTGGACACACAATCAATATTTAAACGTAAATCCCTGGGTTTGAAGTTAGGAGGAGAGAGTGAAGCTGGCGCTGCCCGCAGGCCCACCGGCCCTCCGCCACCTTACAGCCCTGCCACTGTCCCTGTCGTCCCTCACGCCGACGGGCCAAGCGACCCCGACCATCCTCCCCCGCAATAATCCACGCTGCTGGCCCCATCGACACGTCTAAGGCAGCTCGTCCACAGGCATTTTTGTCGCCGTGGCGCTCTGCGGGGTCCCGGGCCGCACGTGGGGAAGGGCACTGCCCGCGCCCGCCTGCCGCCCACCCCGCGCCAGCAGCAGGAAGGAGAGGGCTGGGCGCTCTGCGAACGCCCACGGCGTTCTCTTACCTCTCTCTGAGGTAACTTCCACACGCTTCAGTTGTTTGAATGCCAGTTTGAACTGCGTCAATCATCACATTTAAAAACCACAGACATGTTTTAGAAAACCAGCAGACGCAGCCAGAGGAAAAGATTAACACGCTACCCGGCTGCCAGAGCCGTCGCCGAGAGCTGCACAGAGGGACGCTCAGGAGAGCCCAGGGGCCACCAGGACAGGTACGTGCTGCCAGTCTGTGCCCCAGCCTATCTAGCCCCGCGTAAATACCCCGCCTGAAAGGGTAACTGGGCCCGGCGGAGGGCAGCCGAGCACCCGGCCCATAGCCTGGGCTTCGCCTGAGCCAGCCCCGCCTGGCTCGGCCACGCCGCAGCCCTGGAGCCCCAGTGCCGCAGGATTCCGGGGCTCCGTTCGCCGAGGAGGAGCGGGGCTGCGCGGCGCAGGAAGGTGCCAGGGCCCGCGGTGCTGAGCCCCGCTCGCTCCCGGCCCGCCTGCACCCCGTGGGGCCGAGCGCAGTCCGGGCGCGTGTGCTCAGGACAACAGCAGCCGCCCGCAGAAAGGCAACGGCAAGAAACAAACCGCTGCTCCCCCCGTTTAAACCACCCGAGTATCTGCAGTCATTTGGGTTTACAAGTTGTGCACACCTGCATAAATATTTTATGGCAGAAAATAAATGTGCAAATGCAGTAGTTCTCTTATACTGTACATTAAAATTAGGAACAATATCATGAAATGAGAGTGCTGCAGTCCGATGCCACTCATGACATAAATGCACTGGGTTTTCATTCCAAGAAATTCTAACGGATGTGCCTCCTTTCCCACAGACATTCCTCGCGCCAGTCTGACAGTGTAGCAGACAAAACCGAGAAAACCCCTCGGTCAGGGAGTAGTATATTTAGTTAAAGTAAGACCAAAATCGACTTTTCTTCACTCTAACTGCTAGTGAAGCCTAAAATGTGAGCAAAACGATTTAACAGCTGCTTTCAAAATGTGCTTTTTCTAAAGGCTTCACAAAAATAATGGGATTAACTTCTCCTCTGTTCAAGCAGGAAGAGAGAGCAGTTCACAGAAACTCAGGACTGATTAGAACTATTTGCACATCCGTCTGACACATCTGTATATCGATTTGACAGTGCCTTAACTTCAAAACTCCTAATACATTTCTATAGAACAAGAATGCTACAAATATTACCTTTTTTTAGCAATTGTCCAAAAGTTAGGAAGTTTTAGTATGATCAGCTTTAGTATTAACCAGATCTTTAAACAGATTCAAACCTTCTTCTTGGCTGTTTTAGTTGGTTGGGGCAGGTGGGACTGAACCAAATAAGAAGAACTGCTCCAGTGGAAAAGTTTCTCAGAAGTCTGTACGCTTTCTAGAACAAACCCTAATACATTTCCAACCTTTTCCAACATGAGAACAAAGCCCCCCTGAGTAAAAGGGGCCTACAAGAAAGCTGCAGAGGGACTTTCTACAAGGGCATGTGGAGACAGGATGAGGGGTAACAGTTTTAAACTGACAGAGGGAGATTTAGATGAGATCTAAGGCAGAAATTCTGCCCTGTGTGTGGGGTGAGGCCCTGGCACAGGCTGCCCAGAGCAGCTGTGGCTGCCCCCTCCCTGGAAGGGTTCAAGGCCAGGTTGGACGGGGCTTTGGGCAACCTGGGCTGGGGGAAGGTGGCCCTGCCTGGGGCAGGGGGTGGCACTGGGTGGGCTTTGAGGTCCAAACCATTCCACAATTCTATGATTTGTGAAGCAGCATAGAGAGAGAGAAAACTATTTCTTCCCAACTGCATTCTTTCCATTAAATTAATCAGACAAAATCCTCAAACAATAACTAGTGTTACTCAGGAATGGTTGATGTCTTGTTTTTTTCTGCAGATTCTTGATACCTCCTAGCAGCAAAACCAACTTGTGCAAGAAGTTTACAATGTCAATCAATGCTTCACATTGCCAGCTTGGTGAAAAAATGGAAGCTTTTACCTATTTTTACTACTTGATTTTTCTGACGGGATTTATTGGAAGCTGTTTCGCACTATGGGCATTCACACAAAAAAATCAGAAACAGAAGTGTATGAACATCTACTTAATTAACCTCTTAACGGCGGATTTTTTGTTGACTTTGGCGTTGCCAGTAAAGATTATTGTTGACTTAGGAGTTGCGTCCTGGAAACTGAGAATATTCCACTGTCAAGTTACAGCCTGCTTCATCTACCTAAACATGTATTTATCAATTATATTTTTGGGATTTGTAAGCATGGATCGTTGCCTTCAGCTAATGCACAGTTCTAAGATGTATCGCATTCAAGAGCCTGGCTTTGCCAAGATGCTGTCCGCAGTCGTGTGGGCAATGGTTCTCCTCATAACGGTGCCCAACATGGCTATTCCAATAAAGACCATTGAAGAAAGACCTGGTGCGGGATGCATCGATTTCAAAACAAAATTTGGAAGAGACTGGCATGTGTTTACAAATTTCATATGCACAGCAATATTCCTGAATTTTTCAGCTGTGATACTGATTTCCAATTTCCTTGTTGTCAGACAACTCTACCGAAACAAATACAGCGAGAGCTACGCCAGTGTGAAGAAAGCCCTCATCAACATCCTGCTCATAACTGCAGGCTACCTGCTGTGCTTTGTCCCGTACCACATCGTCCGTATCCCCTACACCCTGAGCCAGAGCGACACCACAACCAGCTGCTCCCTGAAACAAGCTCTCTTCAAAGCTAAAGAATCCACCTTGCTCTTCGCAGTATCAAACCTCTGCTTCGACCCCATTCTGTACTACCATCTGTCCAAATCGTTCAGACTGAAATTTAGCGAGACTTTTGCAGCACCCGAAGAGGTGAAGGTTTTCACAGAGGAAGAGGAACAACACAGAAACAAAGAGCAGATGCAAAAGTGCTGATTCTGAAAAACATCAGGAGAGTGCAGGCCCACGCTACAACCAGCACCTGTGAGCACAGCTGCAGGGGCCAGCAACGGCCCTGCTGAGCATGGCTACGGTGGCCAGCAACGGCCCTGCTGAGCATGGCTACGGTGGCCAGCAACGGCCCTGCTGAGCCATAAGCCCGAGCAGAAGGGAAAAGCTTGAACAGTCCCAACGGCTTTGTTACACGTTCACAGAGAGGGTCGGAACTAGCAGAACGTTCTTTCCAAAACAGCCTGGTGTACCTGGGATGACCCACCAGGGATCGACAACGCTTCAGAACACAACGTGCCCAGACAGACTCAACCATACCTTGTACTTATTTATGGTAAAAACACCTGAACTCACCTTTTCTAAGTTAAAGATTGTATACTCACTATATTAAATGACTTGGTGCAATCAAGTGAAGAGATTATTTAATAGCAGTTCTTCAGTTGCAAAGTTTTCACATATACAATTAACCCAAAAGATTTCAGAGGGCATTATTTACTCCAGAAAGTGATTTTAAACTGCACTGATTAAAAATGATTGTATCTGCTTACATCACTACCTGCAGTTTTAATAAATAAATTTCTTGTTCTTGCCAAGTTCCATTGCCTCTCCTTGCTGCTGCTTCAACAAATATGAAAAAAGCTAACATGTTATTACCCAGAAAATTCAAGGAAATTTTAAAATTAAGATAAAGAGTAAGTATAAATATCCACTGTGTTCTCTTTGCTTGTGTTTTTTAAAAATGTACCACAACAGCAACCAAGCTTATTCTCTAATTTACAATTACTTCCAAAAAATAATGCATATGTAGAATAATCAGTCCTCAAAATTTTAAAATCTGTCTGCACAGGCAAAATCCAGACACCTGGATTAGCTCCATCTGTAAATCAAAACATTTCAGAAACAAAAACCTAATCAAGGTCTCTTTTTTTCTGATCCTTAAAATGGGCAAAGTATGAGTCAAACTTTAAGCAAGTACTCTAATCTGTCCTGAACAGAAATAGCTCATTCAGTATTCTCGTATCAATTCACCTGCAATAAGTCAGAAACCAAACTCTGGAGTAAGAAATTTCAAGCAAAGAAAACCTGGATTATGGTAGCAGACTCTCACATGACACTTCCTGTGTTGACAGGATTTAGTATTGTTAAAAAGTTATCATTGTTGTTTAAAAAAAAAATAATCTCAAGTAGATACATTCAAGTTCAGGGCTTGCTCAGTACTTAGGCCCTTTTTCCAGCACAGCAGAAGGCATGAGGAAGGTTTGGGGTCTGGAATGTTCTTCATGGGGCTTTCTTCAGTTCCCATGAGCCCACAGACACACCCAGCAGCAGCAGCTGCCAAAAATCCACACTAGAAAGAGCAAGGAGTGGGTGGGAGGAAATAACACCATTCTATCCCCTACACATTTCAGAACTATTTCATCAGATATTTTGTTAGCCATCCGTCTGCCCAACTACAATATCAAATTTTCTATTTAGCGAACTCTTATTAGGCCCTGGAACGTGGTGGCTTTACTGTGTGCCTGCCTCCGCAGCCCCAGCCGGCCGGCCCACGTTGTGACACCCTCACGTGTTCTCCCAGCGCAGCCCCTTCCCCTAGAGCAGAGGCAGGGCGCCAGGCGCCGCGGGCAGCGGCCCTCGGGCAGAGCTCACACAGCCCAGCGGAGGCCAGCCAGCAGCTCCTGCTGCTCACACAGCCCTGCTGCCCGCCAGGCGCACCCTTACGCACGCCAGCGCGGAGGCCACTCACCAGAGGTATGGGGAAATGTGTTGCGTACTGCAAATGGCGAAGGAGGTCGTAATTGGATGGAAAAATCAGTTCTCTCAGTCTTTCCCTCTTGACTGACTTCTCGCTGGTGACCGAAATTCTTCTGTCTAAAGAAGAGTTCACATTCTCACACGACTCCCCAGGCATCGGAGAAAAAATCTAAGTCATGTAAAACAAATGTTTAAGGTAAGTGTAACCTCCAGCTTTCAGAATTCAGCAATTGCATTCAGAGATTTTGTTCTTGCTTACAGTTACTTTTCAGACATCTGAGGGTTCTCAAAGACAGACAAAGCAAGGGCAATTGTAATCAAGCCTGAAACTTAAGATGCATGTACACATCCGATCTCTATGCATACCTCCACTGTTATTAGACAAGTTTTAAATTAGCAGTATTCAGTCAGAAGAAAGCATTACACTTCAATCTCCACACTTCTTATGCTGCTGTGAGACACAAACTGCGATGAGCTGCTCCAGTGATTGAGGGAAAAGAACGGAAAGGGTGAAGCGGGAGGTGACAAGATGCTGCAGGCAGGCATGGACATGCTTGAAACCACCAACATGCCAGATGTCAGCCAGAAACAAGGGTAATAATATCCTGTGAGCAGGGCTGCACCGACAGGCCTGGGCAGAGGAGTCCATGCGGATGCAGGACGAGGCCCAGACCACAGGAAGATACCAGGAGATTCAAGAGTAATGCAGAATCACGGTAACATAAAGAAAAAGAGAGGGGGAAACAGCTGTGGAAGACAGAGCTGAAACACAGAGCAGTCCCTGGAAAAGCAAATGGTATCCGGGGGGTTCCTCAACGTCAAGGAAGCAGGTAGCTCTGCATATTTAACGCTGGGACAAGGGGTGGAAGGGAAGGAGGCAGGGGAGGAAGGAGGAGCTGCGAGCTGTCACACGGCAGGGATGCAGAGAACAGAGGTGATGTGCTGCCGCGGGAGATGGCAGGGACTAGACACCGAAGGACATTGGCTGTGGGGAAAGCAGCAAGGTGGTGCCAGGGGCACGGAGAGACACTCCGTGGGAAGCGCAGGCAGCAGGCACAGGCATCAAAGGCATGCAGAAAATCAAAAGTTAAACCTACTGGAAATTCCGAACCAAAATCTGCCTTAAAGTCACTCTTGTCTACATCATCAAAAATACCAGCAGTTCCCGAGTCAATGCCCATGTGTTCCATAATACTATGATCCTAATAATTGCCAGAGAGAAAAACAAGTATCAGCTACATTTTATTGAAGACCCATTTCACTGCCCACAGGTAAACCCAAACACTCCACCTATTTAAGAGTGAAGAAAAAAAAATTAATGGTAAGAAGTTTTCAGATCTCGACTTTTAAATCTTTAGGATAAGCGTTAATTCACAGTATTTCTCAAGCTTAAATCCCCAAAAGCACAGAAGCAGGACCCAAAGGGGGAAACAAAAAAAAAAAGCAATTCTGTTCCAGGGACACCTACAGAGAGGAAGCCAACACTCGCACCTTCCCATGATTTATTTCTTACTTTGTTGTACCACAAAAGGCAACTGTAGAATCCCCCTATATTTCAGGGCAAATTTGGCCATGAGACCAAGGTAAGAGACATACAAAAGAAACTACAAAGACACATGAGAGGATGATGCTTCAGCTGCCCACAGGCTCCACGCGGACCGTGCAGCAGAACAGGCTACACCTCATCACAGGAGTACACACGTGGTCCGCAGTCTTGAGGTCAGAACCGCCGTCCTCCTGCACCAGTTCCAGGAAAGGGTACGAGCTGCTCATCTGGTGGCAGCCTCGGGATCGCCCCTGGACGATGCAGGGACGGGCCGTGAGGTTTGGCCCCGCGAGCTCCCCACACCCCCCGGCGAGGACGGGGCTGCAAAGCGCCTGGCCTGCGCCGGGCCAGCAAGCCCCAGCTACGCAGAGTATGAGGGGCTTACTCCAGGCTCCCCATGGACTCCTCCTGCTTACAGCTCTCCCTTCTCTCTGCTGAAGCACCTCTGCAAATAAGTTTTTCCACTGGTACATTCAGAAGTCTACATTGTGCCCTTCTGTTTGTCCCGAGTTATTCAGATCACCAAATAACTGTCAGGTCAGCGTATCTGCACCAAACCAGCAATATTTACAGCTATATACATGAATGAAGCTCATGGATCACTTTCAGTCTTCTCAAAGAGAGAGAGACAAGGAGACACAGATTAAAAAACTTAGTATCTCACATCTGAAATACTAACACTTCGGTGAAAATCTATGTTTAACAAAACAGTACCAAACGCGGGAGAAACAGCATGAAGGGTTACCTCCAGTTTCACATCATGATCCTTAGAATAGTGTTCATCCACAGTTTCCCCATTAGGTGAACGTGGTCTAGTAGTTGCAGTGATTGACAAGTCTCCGCGTGATATTAAAGTGCACATGTACGCATCATGGGAGAAAACATCGTGACGAGTGAATTCAGAGAAAAGCAGCACCAAATTCACAAACTCTGTCTTCTCATGGTCACTATTTGGGTCAGCTACCAAAAAAAAAAAAAAGTTAGACTGTATAGACTGTAGTTTCATCTTAGAAGTATTTGGGTGTCAACTCCCCAAATTGCAAACCCTAGAAAATTAAGTTTAAAGGCCTACTAGAAATGTCTCAGGCACCCTGCAGAGGTTTCTCTTTGTCTCCACAGAACAACCCATTTCCCATCTAACCGGCATGTTTTCACTCTGCTGTCAGCTTCAGGGAGCAGGGGATTCCAGAGCACCCTACCCCATACCCACCTGCCCCAGCTGCGGGGTGTCAGCAGATACACACAATGTTCACATACTTCTAAAAACTGAAGAGGGGGGAAGAGGGTGAGGACATTCCTTGTGTGAAGAAAAATTAAAGCTGAAGCTCTGGGTTGTAACAGACCACCCAACAGTTGTCCTTTCCTCCCAAATTACCTTACTACAGTAAATGTCACAGTCTTATCTATAACACTTTTGTATTTATAACAGAAAACCCTTAAAATATTTTCAAAGAACTCAAGATCTCTGCATGCCAGGCCTCCAAGATGTAAAAGCAGTATTTTATTAAACCTTGACAGTGTATTTTATCTATTAAATGTACTCACGCACATCAGCAAAAAGTTTATTAAAATAAACGCATGTTATTTTGCCAGTGCCAAAGCACTAGAGAAATACAACATATGAAATTTTGTTATTAAGTTTTCGTTCCCCAGCTGCTCTCCCCACCCTGCCTCGCAGAGCTACCAGGGTGCAGAGGGACAATACTGCATTTGAAACAAGCACATCAGAAATACAAGCTAAATAGCACAAATAGTTTGGATGGTTTATTAAAACCAGGGTCACCACTGGCACGAAAACAGGGCACTGCCAATACCTCAGAGTCTGTAACAAATT